GGAAAGAGGATGTGAGAGAGGGATAGATAGCTATCACTTTGGTAATTCAGTGTCCCCAGTGCTGCTAAATGCTATCTTGAAAGACTTTTTTAAATTTTTCAGATCATAGGACTTAGAAGAATATTTAACATTATATTTCCTGTGTAGATAAATTAAGTTGGGTTTCACAGAGTCAGATGGGGCACAGAAGTTCACTTGGTTTATTTCATTTGACTTGCATAGCTAGCAATTTTGTTCTCCTTGCAGCAAGGGCAACAATTTTGTGCGACATTCATTTTACGTACGCAGTGCTTTTCAGCATTGTGCTCACACACCTCATAAGCTGCTTAGTTAGCTACGTCAGCTGAGTACAGCACTGCTTTTCTTCAGGAGCATCAGCCTTTTTAACTCCAGACTCCCTGCTGCGGGTGGGTCACCAGTGCTAATTATGTAGCAGTCATCTCCAGGTAGCACATGTGTATTACTATTCTTGGTATTGTGTGCTTGCAGCTGTATTTTATACGTGTGCTGTATATACTGAGGCAAATTGAAAATTCAGTTCTAGTAATTCTGGATAAACTTAAGAGGGTTTGATGTATTTTGCCTCACCTAAACATATGTATATATTTCCCTGTACCCACAGGTCAGTATGACCACTGTACAAACATGACCTAGTTCTGTGTGTTACCTGTTTTCCCCCTTTTAAATCCACTCATCTACTTATGGGCTTACCAAAGTTCAAAGAAATCTCTTTGCATTTATTTTAGAACAAGTAGAATTATATCCTCAAATATAAGATCTTTTTGTCAGGTTGTGAATCATCTTTTGTGTCTCTGAAGTTTTGTTTTTCTGTAGAAGTGGTAAGTCACACAGAATACCTAATTACTGGCTTCACTAAATTCCCTCCAGTTAGTGTGGCTGATGTGTTTGTGCTGTCTTTGCCAGACCAGTGAATTTCCTCCCACCTCACCCCATCCCAGTGTGACTCTCCGAACAATCAGTGTTGAGAGCTACCATCGTGTTGTGTGTTTCTCTGTGTAATTTTTTTCTATCCTACAGCAGTATGGCTGAAGTTGTGATGAATTTACAGCTAATGCAAAAGGTAGCAGCCAGTCTCCTTAGCAACCTGTGCCACTGCATGCACATAGCCAGCCCAAGCTGAAGTGAAGGACTTGGTGCTTATTTCTGTAGTATTTACTGGCAAATCTCAAAATTAAATACATCACCCCCTGAACCTTTGGCATGAACATATTGTCAAAGCAAACTGTCTCTTCTTTTTTTGCTTGTACAGGCAGGGCAGGGCTTTGCAGGACATAAAGCAGGTACAGATGTGGTGAGGTCTTTGCATACGATTGAGAAAGAAGCAGCATTTTTGTAAGTTTCAGCTAATTTCTTCTGGGCTCTCTGTCTTCATGGCCCACCAGGCAGAGCAGACATCAGCAGTGCTGAAAGGCACTCTCAGCTCCAAAACTCCAACCAAAAAGGACAAAAAGAAGTGTCTCTGCGTTCGCAATAAAGACAGGAACATAATAAAAGATTAAGTATTTTTCTTTTTTATATTTGGCTTTTAGAGATTTTTGCTCTTCAGGGAGCAGTAGTTTCCAAGGCAAAACAGGACTGGGGCATTCCTAAGGAATTACATTGTAAATTATGACTGAGAGAACTCTTTCTTCACATTTCAAGGCAGTGTTGTCTGATAGCAAATACATAAAGCAAACTGCCAATATGTACCTTTCACCAAGAAAAAAGCTGTAAAATTTAAAATTCCTGCTGTGAAAATTAAAATTAGTGGCACTTGTGTCTCTCTAAGTGGTACATAAGTTGGTAAGATTCTAATAATAAATTCTACAGAAATTGTAAACTTGTTTCAAACCAAAGTGACCATTAAATTAGTATACATGCTGTGTACTGGGTGTCAGAAGAGCAGCTAATTCTGTATGTTTTCTGTGAGGCCTATCTTACTACAGGCAAGCCAACTATCTATAACATACTGGGTTGCATGGTTCGCTGACTGTGTTTTTTGAAACAAAAAGACTGCAGATGAAGGCAAAGATTTTTCTATAAGAACCACTGCATGCTCTGATATTAGAGTGAAGGAGAATCTGATAGTGTTTATTTCCCCTTGTTTAGAGTGCCAGTATTGGAGGTAACTCCAGCCAACACCAAGTACAGCCTCTTTCAAATTATCATATAGGCCTCTGAAATAAAGGTAGTGGTTTTAAGTGCCCTGCTTTAGTTGTATAGAATCTTATCTACTGCACAGTAAAACTCCTACTTTTGAAGAGATAGTGGGATCTCTGGGATGAGATCAAGGCTGTAGTGAACTCTTTGAAGAACTAAGAAATATCGCAGAGCTTTCGCTGAAGACATTCTGTTAAAGAGAAGGGAGATGGGAAAATCATCCTTGTGTGACAGCTTTGAAAAATACTGTATTAGCTAACAAAACTCTGCCCCTCCAACTTGAAGAGGAAAATCCCTGAGCTCTTTTTTTACAGTGCTTACTTTCATTTTTCCCTATTCTGTTTATTTAGTAATGGATGTGTGGGGGAATGTGCATGTATGTTTTCCTCAGATGGTTTTCAGTCAAGTTTTGCTGACCACTTAATCATGTCTTAGAGATCACCAGTGTTTCTCAGACAATAGTTGAGAAACAGTAGTCTAATACTCTATCAGAAGATTCTTTGACATTACAACAATAAAGGAGAGATACCACTATCAGTAGGGTTTGAAAATAAATTTATTTGGCATAATAACCCAGAAAAAATGAGGAAGAGAAACATCTCAACACTTGTCAAAACACTGATAGAAAATTCAGGGAAGGTCTTACTTTTTCTGGACTGTTTTTCTCTAGGAAAATAACTGAACTCTTTGCATATGGCAAAGGAATTAACTCATGTCCAACTTTACTACAAAAAACCCACAAACAAAAACAAGTGCAAAACCCAAACCCATTTTGGTCTTATTTTAACTAGTATGTTCTACATCCCTGGTTCTTATAAAATAAATGACGGGTGCTGTATGATGGAGTCAGGAGTCCCAGAGAAAAAGATGGACAGGTCCTGTGGACCTCTTGAATAGGATCTCTACCAGAGGCGGGAATGCCACATTTAGGTGCGGCTTGGGGAGAAAGTAGCCAAGAGGTTTAGCTGGATACAGCAGCTTCTCCAGGAAAGGTTTTCTTAACAGCAGGCTGTGTGTGTTTCTCTGCCAGCAGCTACCTGGGGTGCTGACTTGCACGTTGGCTTCTCTGTGAAGTGTTGTCCCAAATGGAAATCCTAACAAAGGAACTCAGAAGTAAAGAAAAAAAAAAGTATTCTAGAATATACATGCAGCCTACCTAGGACATGCTGTCAGAAGTCCTGTTTATCTGAAGTACAAAGTAGTAACTATAAATTACGAGAAAAATCTTGGAAGCTGATACTGGCAATATGTTGGGGATTTTCAAAGCAGCTGATCTAATTGACAAGATTTGGGAAGACAAACTTGAGATACGATTCTAAATCATGATAGAATAAAAGGCAGTGAAACCTCAGATTTTTTTTTCTCATCCCTTTGCAAATATAAGGGCTAAATTTAAAGTTTAGTTTGAATCTCATGTTTAGATGCAGAATTGTTCTCAATTTATATGAATAGTTAGCTTATAATTAGAATGCAAGCAGTGGGTTAGCTAGAAGCATGCATCAAGCATCACGTTTGCGATGTAAAACAGTTCTGATGTCGGTGAAGAGATTCCTGTTGATTTCAGTTTTCTCTGAGAAGGTACATGGTAAGTTAATTAAATTATTAATTTTTTTTTAACTATCAGTCGAGACAAAGTAAAAAAAAGGAAAAAAAAGTTGGCAGAAATGACTGATGGAATATTCTTATCTAAAAAACATCTGTGCAAGTCAGTCTATCCTCATGAATAGTCCTAGAAGTCAATAAGAATAACATCAATAGGGTTCTCTGCTATTGTGATATGTTTGTCTAAGAAGTACTTTCAAAACCAGAATTTAATAGTGATGTTCTTTGTGTATATATTTGAAGCATCCCATGGAGTTTAATGTGTTTTTAAAAATAGAGAGATTGTTTTTAAAGAAAACAAACCCAGAAGTTCCGATTTACTTTTTGTGGGTTTTTTTCTAACTGGGTTATACAAGCAAAGATAGGGATTTGAAAGCTACATAGAACTGTAGACATGACTCAGAAAATAGTTTTCATTCCACACTAGCACGGCATGAATTGTACATTAGGTTAAAGATTTGTTTTCTCTGCTGTTTTCTGATAGGTCATTGCTTGTGAACAACAGTATGACTACTCATATGATGCTCGATGTGACGTGTGGTCCTTGGGAATAACAGCTATTGAACTGGGGGATGGAGACCCTCCTTTATTTGACATGCATCCGGTGAAAACTCTTTTTAAAATTCCAAGGTATGGCACTAGATGGCTCTCTTCACTCACTAGTTTATTCAAAAGCAAGAACTGAATGTTTGATAAATATTTGTGCTTCAAATCCTAAGTAGCTATCATAGAAAAATACATTAAAAAGCTTTAATGTTAAATAATTTTTTTCAGCCTGACTTCTGCAATATTTTATATTTAGAATGCCTTGAAATTATAAAAATGTATGTATCGATTTATTCTTATCTTAGAATATAAACGTATCTAATATCAAGGTACCTCCTTTCAAAAATACTTTTCTTAGCTACTGTTGATGAAAATATTTGCTTCAAATAAGGAAGAAGACAACATTTGTAACTCTGGAATGACATTTTTAAATATTAATCCCCTGCAGTCTTAGGTTTGTTTTACTGTGGAAGAAAACCACACAATTTTGGCAATGCTATGAAGCAGTGGAGCAGTTTCAGCAAACAGTAATCATAATTTCTGTTTTCATTTATCCAAGGAAGTTAAAGTGTAAAGATTTGGATTGTTATACATGGTTGTGAAAAAGGGATAGAAATTCCCTCTGTGTGTAGTCATGTAAATTGACTGTATTATTTAATGCTGTCTGGTTTTGTTTTCATTTTATTTTCAGTCTTCCTGAATAAGTTAAGATGAGCTTGACAGTGTAGTATAGAGTTTAACAACTAAGCAGTTGTAGTAATAGAGGAAATATAGAGAGAATTTGTCCACCATTGATTAGGTAGGCTGGCATATACTTGTCTCTTCCACATTTTGCTCATAAAGAATCACCACTGACTGATAACAGTTTAAAACCTTCAGCAATGCAAGTGTTTGACCTTTTGTTATCTGCACAGTTATCATAGGCTTTTAAAATTTCTTGTGATTGCAATTTGCATTTCTGATTAAGTCTATTTATATGCAGATGCAGTTGTGCTGGGTTCTGTGTCATAGAGTTATCTCCTCCTACCCAGCTCAGACATAGATTGCCACCACTCTTTCCAAAATTATTCATACTGAAGCAGCAGTTCATCTTGTTGCCTTTACACAAGTGTATAACAGGTCCTGGCAATTAAGGCAGTAAGAGATGCTTCAGATTACTAATGCACTATCTACAAATTTTTATCAATGCTCAAAACAGTTTAAAATAACAGAAGCCATAACAGAAGTAACAACAATAGGAAGATGCATAGAATAGGGCATGTAGAGTCTTTGATTTATATTTCTCTCTCTATTTGCTGTTGGATCTCTGAATGCAAGAAAGATTAAGTACCTATCTGGTTAATTAAATAGTAAGTATGTTTCTAAATAGAACAGTAGAAATTTTTAAGTTGCGAGTTTTCCTCTGCTTTGCATTTTATGAGCAATAACCCTGCTGGCAACTGTGCACTCAGATAAAGTGGAATATGATGACTGCTGGATGGCATAAAGGGGTATAGGAGATAGAGCTTCTTCCCTGGTACTTGTATGAACTCAATTCAGAGGGTAGTATGTATGACTAAAAGGTGCATTCCCTTCTTACAGTGGTTCGACAGTTAATAAGTAATCTTAGTGCAGATCCTGATACTTACGCTGCAATTCACGTATTTTAAACAGCATTTTCAGTGGGTCTTGCAAGCATTGTCTGTTGAATGCTCAAGCAGTAATGTATGGATGCATTGAAGCTCACCTTCTGAGGCTGCCCAAAATCCTCTGAGCTCAGTGGTCTTTACACTTTCTGCTTTCATTATATCTGTGCCTGAAGTTATAAATGCAAATGTTAAGCCATTTTGTAATGTTTAGGTAGTTAGTATCCTTGAGTATCATCTCAGAATTTATCCAGTACAAATTCGCACCTACTATAACATTTAGTAGCAAAGCCTACAGAATAACTATGTTTTATTGGAAGAGCTCTCTTGTGTGCCACTTGATAGCTTTATTTGCTAACACTTAATTGCCTTATGAGAAGAGGAAAAGTACAGTCAATTCCTGTTTCCCCTCAGCATGACTTAATGCCATTGTAAGATCCAATGAAAAGGAACCCTGCTTTTTTTTTTTTTTTCCTTTTTTTTTTTTTTCTTTACTTTCAGTTTCTTGCCCAAGACTTTCTCTGCATGCATTGTGCATTTGAGCCAAAACTTTCAGCCCTATTTTTTGTCTCAGTGACACTGTAGTCAGACTCTGGAATCCAGTTTCATAACTAGACTAGCACTTTTCACATCTTCAGAGGCTTTTGTCCTCTGCACCAGGATCTCTGTGCCTTAAAACTGCTCTGCTAATACCCATAATCAAATTGAATAGAATGAATGAGGGGCAGAGTGTTCATGCAGCTCACATTCTTGTCTTACCTGAGGGGTGGTAACCACTAGTGCCTGCCACCTCCTGCTTTCTTTAGGAGGCTGCTTGCCTAAGCTTTCCCTGCATGGACTTTGCTCCACTCATCGTTTAAATCAAGATGTACATTTGCGCATCTGGTGAGATGGAGGAAGGGCTCACTCAGCTGACAGCCCTCAGTTCACAGATAGTGACAGCACTGAAGTTTACTCCTCCTGAGGGATATAGGGAGAAAGAACTCATTCAGCTAGATTTTGCTTTCATGTAGAAAATAGCCAATAGCAGGAGGTTAGCAGTTTCCAAAATTATGTCACAACTGCAATTTGCTGATCAAACCACATTAATATTGGAGTACAATGCACCTGAATACTAAGGTAAACACTTCTGATTCTGGGCTTCTGGAGGTAGTGTCAAGACCTGTGTTTAGTAGCAATGTAACTTCAGCCTTGTGTGTGCACTATACTCTGATACTACTGACCTGTACTTCTGACAGAGACATACACAATTAAATTTGCTGATGACAGCTCCTCTTTCAGCTGTGGTTTCTTGTCGTTTGATGTGAAACTGGCAAATCAGGTTTCAGCTATTGCTAAATGTACTAAATGCACTAACACCAAGTGACATCGAGGTGTCTTGCACAGTACAGTGTGACTGTGGTACCCTACAGTCAAGCTTCATTTTATCTGAAAGTATTAAAAACCTACTGTGAATAGTGGGCAGTAAATGTGATGGGCTTTTGATTTATTATATATATCTGTTTTCTGTATGTGTTCTCCCAGGACAATTTTCTTTGATTGGGCTGATTTGACTTTAGTTTGGAGAAGAGGTGAAATTGCTATTCACAGTAAATGACACTTGGGACATAATTCAGAGAGTTATTAGGAATTATTTACCTTTTCTCTTACATTCTTGACCTCAGTTGATCCAGACATTTCTATTTATACTCTCTTCTGTATGCTGCTGATTTCTTTACATTAACAGAAAAGTTGGCAATAGCTTTCAAGTTTTGTTATGAAGCACTGAATAATCTGCTCTTGGTAACGTGCATAAAATGTTAGTAATGGTGAAAATGCCAAAGCAAAATACAGAAATCTCTCTGTATGTGTCTAAAGAATTCTTCCATTTCTAAGTAGTAAACAAAGTAATTAAGCTTTGATGACAGTTTAGTTGTTGGATTTTTTCTAGAGACAACCAATAATTGTGCCATTGGCCTTGGCCTTGATTTTCATCTTTATGAACTATGGAGATAGCTTTTAGTCTTAAATTAGTGTAATTGAAATCAGTGAGTCTTTACTCTGACTTTGTAGGGTTTGAATCAACAATTGCATGAATGATTTTGTACTAGCAAGTCACAGCATCTACATACTTCCAAGATCTTTGGAGATGTCTTCTTGTGTAGAACACAAGTCAATGATTAGTTTTTTACTTCAAAATTTAACAGGAAAATGTGAAAAGTTAACGTTAACCGCACATCCTACACTGTTAGATTTTCACATTCTGCATTAGTTCTTTGTACTTTTGTAACTGTTTTTATTTCATAGTTTTCACATCTCTGTCCTTTCAGGATTGCTGGAAAAAGATTAAAAAACTTTTGTTTCTGCTCAGGATCCTGTCTGATGGAAGTGTTTTGTTTGAAGATAGTACTTAATAGGACATTGTAGATAGTAAAGCCTCAGTCGTGTCTCTCTATCTCTCTCTTTGTCTCCTCCACCTCCAACATGAGCAGCAACTGTCCTGTTTGATTTTTGTGCCTTTCTAAATTAAGAACATGATGTATCCTTTATTATTTGAAGATCTTTTCCATCTTGTTCAGGGTAATGATTTTTTAATGAAGATTCTAATGAAAGGCCCATAAATGCTTTTATTAGATAAATAGCAATAGTTGAAAACCTGCAAACAGATGTGTTGCTCCCTGTCCTCCATTTTTACTGTGTTTTAAATTGTAAGTACAAACTGCCTGCATTGTGAAATGAGCGACATACGTGCACTGGTGAACTGACATTGATCTGTGTCCTGAATCAGACACACTTACACTGTTTCTCACATCTAGAATTGTTTTGCAGCTACAGAAGTCTCTGTTTGAACAGAAAGGTAAAAAGGTTTCCTTTAATTGAGTTGAACAGCATAAAATGTGATTAGAGATTTAATTTATCTCAACAAAATAGCTGAATTCCAGAGAGCAGGTGAACCCTCAGAATTCACTGAGTGTCTCAAGTTGAGCTTAAAAAGTAAGTGATACCACTGTGCTACACTTCCCTGAAAACTTGACCAGTGGTTCACAGGAGGAGATGCTGGATGCTGAACAGTTTTGAAAACACTGTGTTTTTTAGTGCATGTAAGTATTAACTTCAAACTTTTATAGTACGGCCTGAGCTGTGGGCCAGATGCTTAAGCATCTTACACTAGTCAACAACTTTTCTTGTCCTACAGAAAATGCAGTGTTGGCAGCAACTGTCTGATAGCAAAAGCAGAGTGAAGGCGAAAATGGCAGTTAATCTTTAAGTTAGATGTTTCATTAGACACTAGCCTTCTGGACCTCATTTCTCTATGTATTATGTAGATTTTGAAGAGAAGGAGATACAAGTTCATGGACTAATGCATATCTTAAAAACCTCTTTCATTCATGAACATTTTATTGTATGAATGTGCAGTGGCTTGGAAACAACTACGATGCATGAAGCTTATTCTTAAAACTGCTAATGAGAAGGAGGCAT